AAAAAAAAAAAAAAAAAAGAAAAAAAAAGTAAGCATGTATTTTGCCAGAGTCTGGAGATTAGAATTAAATTAGCAAACCAGAATTGTAGAAAAAGCTATTCACTTTTAAGTATATTGCTGAGGTTTTTTTTTTTTTTAAATCAGTGTGAATGAACCTCATAGCCATGGTGGGAGCTGAGAAGGAAGGATTTCCCTTTAGTTACACACCTGTGTCAGCACCTTCTCACTTTTCTTCGAAAGTCTGGGGTGTTCCTGGGATCCATAAATTTGGGGTTCAGAGTTTCTACACCATGCTGTTACTTGTGAAACATCTCTTTAACCATGTCCCAGAGTTGCCCAGGAATTCAAGACCAGCCTGAGCAACATAGCAAGACCTCATCTCTGCAAAAAAAATAAATAAAATTAGAAATACATTAGCCAGGTGTGGTGACGTGCCTATAGTCCCAGCTACTCAGAAGGCTGAGGCGTGAGGAATCACTTGGGTCCAGGAAGTTGGGGCTGCAGTGAGCCATGTTCATGCCACTGCACTCCAGCCTGCATGACAGAGCAGGAAAAAAATCAATCAGGATCCTGGGCAGAGGGAGGAGAGGGGACTGGGGTGCAGCGAGCACTTGGGGATTGACTGAATGGCGTTGGGGAGAGATGCCTCCAACGTCCTGGAGTGGGTAAGAATGACTGGGAGTGGCTTTTAGGTCAGGAGGTTCCTGCTTGGCCACTCCAGGAGGGGATGTGGGCTGAAGGGCATCAAGTGCCCTGCTGAGCAGTTTGGCCTTGATCCTCATGCCCTGGACACACATCTAGGGTAGGAAAGTTGACTGATCCGTTGGTGATCTGAGTTTTTAGACATGGTGGTAGTTCCTGAGGTGGGCGTTCAGGCCGAGTTTAGACAGGGAAACCTATGAAGTCCTTAGCAACGCTCCAGGGAAGGGGCGTGGTCAAAGAGATGTTTCAATATGGAGAAGTAACAATATGGTGTAGAAACTCTGAACCCCAAATTTATGGATCCCAGAAACACCCCAGACTTTAGAAGGCAAGTCAGAAGGTGCTGACACAGGTGTATAACTAAAGGGAAATATTTCTTTCTCAGCTCCAACCATGGCTGTGAGGTTCACTCACACTGACTTAAAAAAAAAAAAAAAATCTCGGCAGTTTACTTAAAAGTAAATAGCCTTTTCTATAATTCTGGTTTGCTAATTTAATCCTAGTCTCCAGACCCTGGCTAAATAAATGCCCATTTCTCCAGATGGTCTCAAGAGTCTCTGGACATGGTGGGGGCCCTTCCCTGTTGGTTGGAAGGTGCCTCAGGAAGAAGAGGGTGGATTCTGAGTTGAGTCAGACCCTCGAAGGCCCCTGATGGGAGAAGCTCTCAAGTGACCACCGCTGTGGGCCAGAATGCAAAACTGCAGGAACAGAACATTCGCAGTGAGCTACAGTTGTATTAAGTGATTTTCCCGAGCAGGAAGTGGCATCTGGCCTGCGGTTCAGTGGGGGGAGGAAAGGGTGGGCGCACCTGCCCCTGGCTGGCGCACCTGCCAGGGAGCCCCAGGCGGCACCGCCTGTGCGGAGCACCCCTGAGGATGGAAAGCCCCACGCGGGGCAGGTGGCACCGGCCCTCCGAAGACGGGACGGGATGGAGCGTTGAACTTCGGGGCAGCTCCGTGCTGGAGACGCCCGCATCTGCCAGGATGGCGTCTCCATAGCCCCAGTGCTCACACATGAGGCCAGGAAGCCCCAGCAACAGTGACCACCCAAGCTCTAGAAAATATTGGACGGGGTGGATGAACACCCAAGCGCGCTCCAGGAGAAGGGATTTGGCACCCCAATGGGCTTTTAAAACGGTAAGCTTCTAGGGGTGTATTTGCCCCAATAATCCATAGAAACAACAGTCATCTAAAAATAGTTTTGTTTTCTGTCCTAAGCTCCTTTTAACTTTGTTAGTCATCACCAATCCTAAAATAAAACCCGTGTAACGTCTCCCCTAGTAGCGGCTATAAACAAACCTGCCAGGAGGCAGGAGGAAGAGGAAAGGGGCGCAGAGCGCGCGGGGAGCAGAGCCGGGACCCGCGGTGGCCGCAGAGGCCGGGCCGGGGCGCACAGGCCGGGCGAGCTGGCCGCGCTCTGGGCCGCCGCCTCCGGAACTCCCTGCGCCTGGCGCGCGGCCACCGTGGTCCCGGCAACGGCATTAAACAGAGGGAAACAGACCCGGGATTCCGTCACCCGGGCGGGGGGATAAGGAGGGCTTTGAGAGCAGACAGGAAAAGGGAGCTTTTCTGCATGGGGTGAAAAAATTATTTATTGAAGGAGGAGGAGGAGGCAGCGGAGGAAGGGGAGGGGCGGGAGGAGGAGGAAGAGCCGGCCGCCCCCGCCCCGTCCCCGGCCCCTCAGTAGCCAAGGGCAGCCTCGCCAGGTCGGTCCCGGGCTCGAGGCCCGCAGCTGGGGTCGGGGGGCTCAGTCTCCCACGTGACCGACTGGGCGCGCCCCGCCAGACCTGGCCTCGGGATTCCCTCCTCCCGGCGAGTCTCCGCCCGCCCCGTCCTGGAGGTGGGGAGAAGAGGGGAGGCGGGGGTGGGGGACGGAAACTCTCCCGGCCAAATCCTGGCCCCAGGCCTGGGGACACTCGCGGAGGGAAGATCTGGAGGGGAGGGGAGAGGGAGGAGCGTGGGGGCGCGGCCTCGCTGGAGCCCCCCAGAACCCCCGCCCACTGGCCTGGGCGTCCTCCCGCGGCCCCCTCCTCCCCTCCCAGCGCCCGGTGCTCTGGGGCGTGTGCCAGGCCTGGCTCCGCGCGGGAGGGGCCCCGCAGGTAGAGACCCCTGGAAATGGCCCCGACGCCGCAGGGGCGAGGCGGCCACCACCCCGCTAATCTGGGCGCGTCTCTCCAGGCCGAGGCCTGCGGTGGAAAAGCGGGGGTTCCATTTGTGCTGAGTCGGGGCGGCCGAATGGAGCCAGGCCTTGGGACGTGGATGGACGGGCTCTGGCCGCGCACCTTCGCGGGTTGTGCAGCGCCCGACCGCCTCCCCCGGCAGGGAGGAGGCGCTTGTGGGGGGCACCCACGGGGCACAGTGATCCCTGGGGGTCTGTGGACGACCTCCTGGGCCCCGCAGCAGACACGAGCTTAGCCTTTGGGTTTAGTTTAAATCACATAAGGGTGTCGTGCAATCGATTTATGATTTCTACACACCAGACACTTTAACCTCCAACCCCCTCCATCCAAAGCCAACAAGAAAATGCGGTGCAGTGTTGGCAGCTGAGCTGAGCCCGAGGAGACGCAGGGAGACGTGACAGAGGAAAGTGTGAGTTGCCGGGGGGCCCTCCCCCCGTCAGAAGCCTCCCAGTCGCGCCCACAAAACGCCCGCCCTCCGGGCGGCTAGGGCAGGTGAGCGCGTCCCTCGGCCTCCCCACGCCGGCCCCTGCCACAGGCCGTCTGGGGCGCGCAGATATTTACAGAATAAAAATGACAATAACTCGACGCCCGGGACGGCCACGCAATCTGTTAGCAATTTAGCGGGATGGGAATTTCCTTTCTAGGGCCTGCCAGTGAAGCGCTTTTCCAAATTTCCACAGCGGGGGAAGCCTGCGATTTTACATAATGACTTCAGCATGCCGGGCTTTCTCCGCACCCCTCCCCTGCCCCCGCCCCC